CCCGCGCTTATCGGTCTTCGCTTTATAATCATTATTTTCCCGAGAATTCGTCAAACGATCCCAGTACCAAAGTAGACAACAGATATACATATGTATTATACATAACGAGATATATGACTTACACATAACGTGTGTATGGATTATATACAGTATATATTTAAATATATTGAATGTATACATTATATATATGTAAATGAAGTCCAATCATATATTGTTAAGTAAAAGTAATTAATAATGTGCAAACTGATTAATGACAATTAAATTATCCAATTAATCACTAAAATTATCAGCTCTAATTTAACAAATTATTTACCAATTGTATATAATAAATATAGAATTTCATGTATAATTTATATGCAAACCATATATAGGTACATTGTATATGTATATGACCAAATCTATATATGATTTTGTATATGTATAGATTACATATAATCCATATACTTTTTTATCTACTTGGACAGCCATTCGACGCCTCTGAAGTCTTCGGTGCGTCTGCCCCTCGTTTCCATCGAGGTCAAAGGGCACGAGGATAGGAAACCAACGTGTATATTCGGTATACGATCGATCGATCCCGAGTCCGATCGCGATGGACAATTCAAAGATAACTTTTCCAAGGACGCCATTTTCTGAAGGGACTGATGGCTCCTTAAGCTTCCTGCCGGAAGCGGCCAAGATTCAGGCTCACCTTGACTATTAAAGTTTCATCCGGCGAAAGGCGCAATCAGTCTCGTACTCTGGATCCCCTTAACTGTCGAAGCCCAATTACCAAATGACACCCTGTGTAAAAGGAGCCGCTTGCTTTTTTTCAAGAAATTCCCATCCGCGAGCCCACCTCAACTTTCCTGAACTTCCTCGAACTTCCTCGAACTTCCTCGAACCAGGAGAGGCATTCGAATTCAGGGATAACTTGATTCTCGAAGAAATTCTCAAAAACTGAATAACGTGTCTTTGAAGTACGGTTGACAATCGGGAAAGGACGGTGAGGCTAGGAATAGGCTGAAAAAGATAATAAGAGTAATAAGGATCCAAGGTTATTAAATCTAATAGTGTAACAGTAGTAGTGGCCCCCACCGATACTAAAAATAACTTTGGCGAACAACTTGAAGCTGGCGTTGTTCTAATTTCACGGAACGTATGGGGCGTCTCTACTCTCTATATGTAGAGTCTCTTTAGCGAAAGGCCGACGAAGCCAAGCCGAATCGGGCAGACAGAGAGAGACAGCCAGTCATCAAACTATTCTAACAGATAAAGCTATGTACACGTAGCTGCAGGATAACTTTTCCCAGATTGTGACAGTCGGGTTCGAATCCATAGAGACTGTAACACCTTACTAATAGTAATTGACGGGTGGGAGGGTGCGGGAGGGTGCGGGAGGAGCAGAGCAGGAAGGGCTTCCCGCACTCGAAGGCTGTAACTGACTCAGCAACGGAATGACAGCAGCGTACAGGACTACAGAAGGAGGAGTAGAGCAACTTTTCCCTTGCTGCAACGACTGCGGGTCCATTTATAGGAAGTTTGGATGAGTTTGATGGTGGCGACGCAACCGCAGCATCCACGAATTTAGTTTTCACTTCTCTTGCCAGAATCATCATCGCTCAAGGCTGCACCCCTCAAACGTTTCCTTCAACCATCCCCTCCACTGTTATCAATATCTTCACGATCAAAACGGGTGTGAAGTTAATTACGAAGCAAAATGCAAGATCAAGAAACTTGGTAGAGTGGCGCGGGCGACACGTGTAACGCGAGATCGCCAATTACTGTGCACTTTGCTCTCTTATTTTATAGATCATTCAATGATTGACACTTGAAACGCGTTACCATGATAATTGAAAGCAGGACGTAGAACGCTTAGGGTCGTTAGGATTGTTCGGATTTTCCCGATCGGAGCGCCTTTCGAATGCAAGACACGTGAAAGTTTTTCTTCCGTGGACGCCGAAACGAATAGCCTGAAGAATGGGAAATGGAAAACACGAATGTAAAGCACATCGAAGTAAATGATTCTCGGTCACTTGTTCCATATAGATTTCGTTCGATTGAATACGGCGACTGTACGCGACCATAACATCCTACAGAATACATAGAGCAAGTATCAGACGCGCCGGGCTGGCACGAAGGGCTAGGTCGTTGGGTCGAGCAGATTTCAATCTCTGAATACAGCCTCACACTCCCACCCATCCAGCATCCCAGCGTCCCAGCGTCCCGACGTCCCGACATTCGAGCAACACTCGTCCGCCAATTCACGTGTAGCTATATCTATACTTTAAGCGCATTATGACCTATCGGTGCACAACACGTGCAATTCGGACGATTTACACGATTTACGAGGCGAATGACACGAGGCGACCCGAGGCGACCCGAGCCGACCCGAGGCGACTCGAGGACTCACGAGGGACGCACCTACATAGATACATACATAAGACGTTGTTACAGCCGCTGCGTATAAAGGAGAAGATGAGAGGCGGATGACGGTGAAGGAGATTGAGGGGAACGAGGGAGAGGAGGGCCTGGGGAACGTGCTACTGTTAACAGTTTCCGGAGAGTTAACAAGGTTTCGGATCCGTGGCGACCCGGCGGAGCCTAGGGGACAATAGGAGGACATTAGCCCTTCAGGTCCACCAGGTCCCACCAGCTCCTCCGGATCCTCCAGGAGGTCCTCCAGGTTTCCTACGACCTCTATACTCATTGACCTCTCTCAATCTACCCTCCGTCCGCTTCAAACCCCTTGTCCTGTGTCCTTCTGTGTCCATTTGCTTCTAGGATTCTCCCCTGAACCTCATACTCGTCCTCCTAATTGTCGCTGGTTTACGTGACCTGACTACCTTTCCACTCGGCGCCTTTATTTCCCATATATCGACTTTGATACATACACATAGTCGTCTCCCCTCCTTGAATCTCTGAATCGCGAACCACCGCGCGCCTTCCTTCACACTCGTTATACTTTTTCGCCTTCTAACCCCTTTTCTATTAGCGCCAGCCTGTCGCACGATTAAACGGTGCTAACGGCGATGCCGCATCCAATCCTGACATTAGTTGCCATGTCTACTGTGCCAACTGCATATGGATGCACGATCAAAGTGGGTTAATTGTAAATTAATTAACGTCTCGGGGGTTAAAGGTAGTAAGGGTAGCAATCGAGTGCTCTCACTACTACCCACCCACACGTTTCAATTCAATGTATCGCAGGTCGATCGCAGGTCGATCGCAGGTCGATCTGCGACCTCCTCCACCTCCAGGACGCGAGCGGCGAAACGACTCACGCGTACAATACGACGCCATTTATGAAATGGAAATGGATGCCGGCTACATGAACGGCTACTTCATTCTGAGAATAAGCTTCACATTTACCATTATCTAGTTTATTATGAAGCTGGAGGCCCGAATAGAGGAGCTTCGTTATCGTTAAAGATTAAATGAGGATGGGCAAGAGTTTTTCGATCCATGAAAATGACGTTTTGTTTGAGGTTGAAGCTGAATTTCGTAATGTGACAGATGGTTCTGGTTTCGGAAGCGAAACACTCAGGCCGGAATTATCCAATAGACGTTTCCTCCTTGGCGCTCAGCCAAGTAAACAAACGTTAATTAATAATCTATCAAAGCGAGACTCTCCACTTCTCGCTAAGCCGCCCTTATTGCTACCACCCCTTAGAAGCTACTATCTCGACTAACGGAATAAGGACCCTTCTGCCAGCCGCGAGCTATTCGGCATCAAAGATACTCCCACTCACTCCCTCATCTTCATTCTTCATCTTCTGCTGAACCCATCTCCGTTTAGCTTCCCACCGTCCAACTTCCATCCTTTTCTCCTGCAGAATGCGGCTTGGCTTATTAAGGCAGCCATAACTTCCGGCTATATAGGAGCTTGCACGTTTTTCCTTTCTTTCTCAGAGAATTATGGGAGCATCGGGTAGCCATGGGTCAGAGTGAGCAGGCGGAAGGTCGAAAGGTCTTAGTCTCGAAAGGAAGGAAGCGAAACGTAGGTGCGCGGTGGGAGGCGGTGGGAGGCAGAGGAGGGGGAGAATGAACGGAGCTGGCATTCGCATTAATCAGACGGACGGCATAGGTGCAATTATCCGACAGTAATTAACTTCGCAAACTGCAACGCGCGCACAGTGCACAAGAGGAGCCGGAGAAAGGAGGTAGTAGCGGCTACGGTAGCTGCAGGATCGCGGGAATAGCGGAAAAAGCGAACGCTAGTAGGTAGGTCGCTCAACCTGATGGAGCTGTTCTGGAATTATAGGAGAGGACCAACCTCGAACGCAGGCAGCAGCTTTTCCGGAAACTAATTTAACTCTTGCATCCCCGGTACAGGACGCTTGATCTCGGTAGTTGACTAGTAGGTTGCTGCAACCTCAAAAGCGCTGTGAATGCATCGGCACAGGATAGAAGAGAACGAAAGGAGGAAGTCGAAAGGGGAAAATCGGAAGAGAGTGGCACTCGACTAATTTTCCTCAAAAAATGAAAAAAATGGAAAAAAAAAATAAAAAAATAAAGAAACTATCCCAAACCCCCTCTCCTCTAATATACTTGGGACATGGTGGGAGACACGGCGGAGCACGACGTCCTGCGGCCTCTCTATGTGTAGATGATGTCTGGAGTACCTATAGACCGCACTTGCACGTGCCTCTTTCCCTGCCTCCGGAGGAGAGGCGAGGATCGAGCAAGGCGGGAGCCGTGCAGGATATTGACTTTAAAAATACCTCAGTCAAGGTAAACGTAGCGACACGAAGGTAGAGGAGCTTCTAGGGGCGCAGATGTGCCAAAGATACAGCACGTTTCTGATTGCTTTTCTTAGACGTTCCCACCACAGAAAAGCTGAACTCCTGAATCAACCGAGAACCGTATCTGAAAGCAACTCGGAAAATGGCTCCAACGTGTCATCCGTCGGGCGCTCGCCCGCACGTTCACTTATGTCCTCTCCATCCATGTTTCATTAACTCGAGCCCGTTAATTGGGCTGGATCACCGATAACTCCGATAAGAATGGGAAAAAAGACTTACCGGGGTCCGAGGACGGATGTGCCCTTGTGAGCCTGCAAAGCTGCAGGGGTAGATAACGAGTGTCGGCCCTTGGGGGTGACTTTGGCGGGGGCGGTGTGGCGCTGAGGAATCCTCGTTGCAGTTCCCATCCGACTTCCTGGATGATCGAGGCCTTCCGGAAGTATGGGGTCACTTCCCTCAAGTATTTAACTGCAATTGATAAGAGGCAGAAGGGTTCATTGACCTAGTTGAACTATAGAAAATATAGAAAAAGAAGCAAAAGAAATGTGTCTACTTGCGTATTCTATAGAGATAATCGAAAAAGGAAAGGACGGAGCGGAAGCCCGGCACCCCCTTGGCCCACCTAAGTAAATAGCTGTGCGCGCGGAGTCGGGTGGATGGATGGGTTAGGGTTAGGTGTTAATGCATCAGAAAGAAAGGCGTGTTCTCACGTAACCGCTGGCACGTATTTTCTTCAGCGATCAAAGGAAATCGAGTTCGAGGTCGCTACGACAGGACAGCCGCTCGATACTTAGTATCGATTCGATATTACAGGTCCCATTTCCGCAGAGGCGTATCACGCTTTACGAGTCCTTTTTACGATCCACCCTATATATTCACTAGAAGTACCAACGCGCCCCAGCCGATCACACTCCAACGCCACGAGATCTACGGGATCCACGGGATCCAGGGGATCCACGGGATGGATGACTATACTATGTACAGCTTGTTTCAGCAAGACTCGCATTCTCGCGAACACCAAGTGCGACCTCTTCTTTCTTCGTTCGGCATGTTCGGCATGTTCGGCATGTCGAGGCGCCTTCTTGCTCTCATCTGTCTCTCAATGGCGACAATGAGTAATAAACATTCCATTCATAAGGGATAAAGAAAAATAGAAAATTTAATTGGAATCGCTTAATCATCAAAAACAAATATCTATTATTTATCCATTACGTTCGCGTATTAATAATTTCCGTATTAAGCGTTACGTTGCATCATTTGTCCTGCGATTTATGTGACGTTCGATTACGCATTGGTGCAATCGCGTGTGTCCCTCCCCCCACAGCGACGCCGCGCGACGCCTTCGTGTTCTTCCAACTACCGATACATGCAATATATAATAATGAAAATAAGAGACAAGGCCACATAAAACCGCGACGGATGAAAATCGTTATGATTTTCAAAAAATCCCCTAACTGATTCTCAAGTTGGTTTTTGCATTTAGTATCTCAACTTCTCTAATTCAGTTACGGAAGTGTGAATAAATTTAGCGATTCGATCGGCATTCGGTGCTTTAATTCCTATAGATGTTGTCAGAGGTGCAGCCCTGAGTTCATCTTCGGAGGCACCTTTAAAAGACGTGGGTTATTCGACCCGGAGGTCAAAGGTCACGGGTGAAAGGTGGAAGGTGGAAGGTGGAAGGTGGAAGGTGGAAGGTGGAAGGTGCAAGTCACGAGGCAGAACAAGGCCGACCGACAGACCGGAAGACGATCTCCCTTGGTTACCGGCGAGAGATATTTTTAATATCCGGTTGACTCGGTCTGAACGCGGCTGCGCGTCCAAGCGACTTTCATATTGAAATTGCACGGAAATTCGGAGGCTCCGCATGCGGGGGAAGCCAATGCAAAAATGGGATAACGCAATATTCGCAATCGTCTACTCTTTTTGGAAAGTTATTCGAAATACTTTGGTGAGAGAGTCATCGAACAGTGCGATACCGCGCGATTTATTGTCCATGAGCAAACCGATGCGAACCTGCAAATGCAAATGCAAATGCAAATGAAAATGCGCGAATAAACACGGGCAAATAAATACTCGAATCTGTGCGCTCCCAAATGTTTTTCCATTTTCGGATGTTTTTAAAAGTCGATTCGAACTCGAAGTCCCGATGCGAACTCGATGGTTTCTGCATTTAAAAATGAAATTCGTGGGCGACGGGGACGGCTGGGAAATTCAGATCTTCTGATTTCAAGTTGCAAGTCTTCATGCTCCTGAAGTCTCTTGTTGTCATTTCCCACTGCGAAAGATTATGCGCTCCTCTTGTTTTTTCATCAAGTTTCATCGAGTTTCATCGATTCATCATACTTATAGGAAAGTACAATTCCAAACCTTTCCTTGACTTTTATTGAAATTCTTCATTTTTATCCAAAAACATTACCCTTCCACCTTAGTTTCATCAAGAGTTTGGTGTCAATTATATTTCGAGAATAAAATACTTTCTCTTTTAAAATGTAGCATTCGTTTGGATAAACAGTAGACCAGCATTTCACCAGAATTTTTATCTATCTCTTTTTCCTTCTTTTCCGTAATTCTCTTTCTATTCTTATTCCTTTTAAAAAATTTTTTTCGATCATCTCCAACGAAACGAACATAACAATTGATCTTTATCACACGAAAAATATTTTGGTTGACCCAGTTTATTGAAGTAGAGAGAAATAGATATTTGAATGACTATGACTTTCAGGTGGAGACAAGCGGAAATCTCTATCAAAGGTTTTCGTGCTGCAAATAAATAAATTAGAGTGTAAAGGAAAAGAAGCAATAGTAAATCTGAGAAATAGGTTACAGGCTCCGTGCAGGCCCTGGTTATATTCAACTTTGTAAATTCGTTGATGCAATATCATTGTATTCAAGATGCAGATCGATTCATGTTTCAGTCGACAATCGATCTGAAATGAGTCGGTGCACATAGATGGCCCAAATAATATTGAAACTGTTTGGAAGGCGTCAATGATGGGCAGTGTACGTGTGGGCGTAGGCGTAGTGGACGCCCGGGGACGCCTGGGGACGCCCGGGGACGCTAGGCTGTTAACAAATCGCCGATATTTCTATCGCAATACACATATTTATGCATCTACGGACAGACGCGACAGACGCATGCATCGATCTAATTCCAAATGCACAGGAGCATAAATTTCCTTCGAATCGCGACTCGTCATTCTTCCAATTTCTCCCTTTGCTTGTCCTTGGAAGAATGACTTGGAGCGATTTCTCCACGAGGGAAAATTCCAAGCGAGAGTTTTGGTAATTGGCAACCAAGTGGAAGTTTGGCGAAGCATCGCCAGGAGTTGCTGGGAATTGGCGGGCAACGGGACTCGAAGGGAGATTCACGACTCGGGTAGCTCAGGCTCCTTAGAGTTAAGATTCGAGCGGGGCTCGTTTAGATAAAGGAGATGATATTGTGGGAATAGATGCCTCGGTCGTCCAGGGAGCAATATCCCTCCGAACTCTTTCCAAAGATTCACCGAAACTCCAAGTTTTACGAGGCGAGAACCTGGGAGAGCTGATTCCCTGCACTTCGGCTTTTAAGGTCATCGGAAATTTCCTTTTTCGATACTTTCCTTCGTTCTCCGGTCTATCGGCCTAATCAGCCTAGCGGGACAATAACTAATAGTGAAAGAGCAACCGTCGAAGGAATGATTACCAGACGTGCGACGAATGCGGGAGGCTGTCGAATAGATGAGTCTGATTGTGGGCTGAAGGCTCGACGCGCTGCGATTACGTGATCCCTCTCTCTCTCTCTCTCTCTCTCTCTCTCGCTGACTGGCGCTACACGCACGTGGGTGCACACGCGCGCGTGTCTCTCGATTGGGCATCGCTTGCCCGGCGACTGTACGACTCTACGTGTTTCCGCATAATGGCATAAATCTACTCGCTATGAATTCGCGATAGAACAAAGTGCCACTGAGAGTTTCGCAGGGAGGCAAAAGACAAGTAGAAAGGGGATAAAATAAAAGGTGGCGACTGAACCGGATGCGAAATCGTGAGTGATCTCTCGTCATGTATCGCGAATGAATTTTTATCGGGCATCGATCCGTCGCCAATGGCGTCGATAAATTTGCCCCCTTTTGTTAAACGGCATTCATCCCCTTCCCTCTTGAACTTCCCGCGCCTGACTACCCTTCAGCCAGCAATCAAGCCCTCCTCTCAAATACCTTGAAGATGATTTTGCTTTAAAGTTCTCCGCGTCTCACGCTCGCGTGTCACTTGCCTGAGGAGCCCAATAGGAGCCCAATAGGAGCCCAATAGACAGGAGGCTGCTCTCCGGCGTCGATCACGTCGGCGCGATTGTCGCCCCGTCGTCCAAAAGGGGTTCTCCTAGACTGTAAATTAATATTCACCGGGAATCCCGAGGAATGCTCAGCTCTCTGACTCTGAATCAGATTGAAAATTTATGGATCGGAGCGGGCGGGGTCGACGGTTAATTAATTTGCAAAGCTACCCAACGTCCCAGTCCGCTCGGAGTTTTTGCCCGATCGAAGCGGAGCTCGAATGGGAGGGACGAATACTGGCTGTATTATAAGGCAGACGCGGCGGCCGTGCCTGCGTGTCCCCGTACCCTCGCGTACAGGCTCCAGGGTCCAGAGTCCAGGGGAGGCTGCTGCCGCGACTTTCCAAGGGCAGGGGCTGCCCGCTATGGTGTAGCTAGAGTTATAGCCCCTATGAAACCCATAGCAAATGATGCAGGAGTACGTGACTGGGAACTAAACACGCCGTGCGCCGTTCGGGCGGTTCGGATCGCCTGGACACTGCTGGCTTTCGGTGGTTCTACGGGGCCGGGGGGGCCGGGGGGG